ACTGAAGAAATTAGAATAAATTTTTTTGTTACGATAGATAACTTCGTTGATTTTACTGGCCTAGTGGCCCTCACTAAGGATTTTAATATATGAAGGGTGATGAAAAGAAACTTAGAAATTTGATAAAGCGGCAATGAATTCAGAGAAAGCGCCGTGGTAGTTTGCCATTCATTTAAATTCATTATGTCCATTCGTAAATCCCCTCGTACTGGTTTTAAGGCTTCAACTTGTTACTGTGTCTTATGACTAGTCTGTAGTTCCCGTCTGGGTATTGCGGCAGTAAGGCGTTTTCACTTTCTATGCTTAAACATACGCAGCCACGAATTCGCTTTGGATGAAACCAGAATTTGGTTGAAACCAAGATTGTCAGCACATCGTTCTACTACGTTTATTAACTGTCGTGCGTGTGTACTTTCAACTTTTCTATTTTTTCTCCCGTTCTGTTGAACTACTTCTGCTTTTACTTCCAGATGGTCCAGATCCAACGACTCGCATAAATGAGTACTTTCGAATTACCGAGTCGTTGAGCATGAACAAACGAATCTGCCATAACCATGGCAACGTTATCGACACCAGCGATTTAGTTGTTTGGTTCGGTGACTTAAACTTCAGGTAAGTAATAATAATTACATGAAATTTTTTACTGCTGAGAGAATATGGCGATTTTCTTCTTTTCTGTAGGTGGAAAGTTTGTTATCTGTTTGTCAATCGTTCTACGGCCTTTTGGCTTATTCGCCATATTTACTGTCCGCGAAGTCAAGCAGAAACAGGAAACTCAGCTTATACGAAAATGGAGTTCTGATGGTTTCGCGTTAAAATTATTTCCGGTCACGTGCCTGACCTTGGGGGTCTGAAAGAGTTCTGAAATGAAATTATAAAATCACAAGTCGGTTCACTTTTAGAAGGATCACACCTACTTTGTTCTTAATTGCCTGATGCAAGAATGATGCACCTCAAAATTACGTGGTGCTTTTCTATTGGGAGCATCAATGACTGTCTTAAGCGAATGATGGCAGGAGGTTGTCATCCGGCCACATTTTCATACGCAAATTTACCAATGGCAAACTACCACGAGACAGCACCTTTTCACAGATGTTCAAATGCAGAACAGCGCTGTGATATAAAACTGCTTCATACGATAAGTCACTACACTGTCTTTCTCAAGAATTGAATATCTACTTGGAATAATGTTTCTTACTCTATATTTTCCGATGTTATGCATCATTGGATCAATTGGATTTTTTAAGCCTAATGCCCGAGTAATCAAAGATCTTTCAGCGAGTTTAGTGATGATAAAAATTGTCGCTGTTTTTTTAACGTTCACATGGGTGACAGTCTCCAGTTCTGAATGCCTTCCTCAGGTTAGTTGTAAAAGTCAGCATTTTTCATTAACGTTAGAAAATAAATATCACATTAAAAGAATTTCTCCACCTCCAGGAATTAATACGAATCGTGACTTTCTATTATTTGTATTTGCATTAGATGAAAGTGCCTTTTCTCTATATCAGTTACCCTCTTTCAGGCTTCTCCTAACGAAATGATGACCTCTACACGCCAGGCGGAATTAATATCATTGTTTGCTCTTTTCAGTCATTCAATGAAGCGTATATTCATTGCTAATTTTCGATCTACTTGAAACATCCCTCGGCAGAATAAACTTCATTCCTATGGAGAATCTGATGGACCAGTGATGTTTACTCGAAGTTCTGTCAAACCATAGTATTCCTTTTTACTGTTGCATGGACATAGCGTCGCGTAGTTTATCTGGAAGCAGAATCTCCCTAACTTTTTGAACGGCGGTGTTCTTCGCGGCGGAAAGGAGTACAGGCTTAAAGTGATCTAAGAAGCGTTTATTCATAGGTAATCCTTACTTCGTTAACAAGCTGGCTTGAGGTTTATGACTGCGAAATGACCTTGAAGGAAATGCATCTAAACAAAGTTATTCCGTGGCATTTAATTATTATCGCTTGCTCATTGCTTGGACTTAAATAAATTCATTTAAGTTTAAATTTTGAACTGAATTAAAGCATTTTGATTTTGTGTTTATATAAGTTAATATTTTTATAGGCTATTCATGGATCCGGTGGTCATGAAGACTTTAGCAAATCCGCAGAACGCTTTAGACAAAGATTTACAAATTGGACTTCAACAGTTCGATCAGTTGAAAAGGCTTTTGCAGAAAGGTATATATATTTGAAAAGACCTATGACTGTATTGGATATGTTTTATGCCAAATCTGGCGAAGAACAACGTATAAACATCGTTAGTTTTGTTTACGAAGCAAGGATGACTAACAACCGGAACTTTGGCTACCTATGTCACAAATTCTTATAACCGTTGGCAAAGTGCGATGATCGTTAAAGTTGTTTACAGCGGGTGGAAGGTTTGCATTATTCAGTACCTCCTGTCGCTTTTTAGTAATTTTCTGGTGATAGGGATGACTAATCTCTTCCTATGTCTGTGCCTATGCCTTCTTTTACGCACCTATTCAGCCAGCTTCTTTCTTTGGTGATGCTTGCACACTGCGGTGTGCAGTACTGGCACGTTGTTAATGCAATGCAAGCTGCGTAATCCCGGCGGTATGGCTGAAGATGAGACTGTTTTCTACCTGGATGCTTCGTCAACATTTCTCACGGTTATATGGTAATTTATAAAACCAGACCTTGCGAGTTGCTTTTCTCAGACTCGGTCAGGTATTAAATTTCTTGAAGTTCTTATATTACGTTAATATTATATTTGGTGTTAAGCAACCGACAACTTTTTACTACAATTTGAACAATAAGGGTAAAATAAGTCCGGTTATTGCCTGCCTAGTGAAGCGGTTTTACGTCCTTACACTGCACGTGCTTTAATACCATGCAGCCAAATGGTGCCCTAGAGGACTAGCAGCAACAGGACGGTGCTGTTTACTGCTTCGATTCGATATCGAAAGAGAAAATGCTGTTTCTTTGGTGGCGATATCGATAACTAGTAGCATGCTAGCAGGCCCATCAGATCAGGTTTATTTTTATGAATTTAAAATGTCTTTTGTATTACTGCTGATTAAGCCTGTCTAAAGTACTTCGCTACATGCGGTTTATTATATTATTAATGAAGCGCTAATTGTCTTATTCCTTTGCAAAATTAATTACCATGCAGTTTAAACATTTTTTAAAAATCTTTAACTAATCATCTTAATTGTTTATATTCTTATGTTATATGCGAATTAAGGTGTACCTGTGCTCACAAGTTTAAGATATAGTTTTGTCATACCAGTTACATCATTCGTAATCGATCATGAGCAATGGGAAGACTAGTTATTTTCTCCTTTAATAGTTGACTCTAGCAAATAAATCATTACATTGGCTAAATTAGTTTGTTTTATGGCTTGATTACACTCCCAACGGCATCGGTTTTTCGTTCCAGTCATTGACTTCTCATTTGAAAAGTTTTCATTATTGTCACATTGTCTGCGACAGCCTATTCATGGGATATTCCCCTCTAAATAGGCCCTTCAAGTATCCTCAAGTTGTATACATGCACAGGAGTATAGGTCCTTGATTTAACACAAAATACTGGACCATATGAGGAGGTATCGATGTATCATGTTTTAATGAGAAATTGCCGTATGCTGAA